TCATCTATTCTCTCATCAACATTATTCTGAAACACATGTACATACATGTATATGCATCCATTTCCATTAGTGTATGAATCTGTAGTTTCAATCACAGTTCCATATTAGGACTTACATGTACATGTATCCTTTTCACAGACCATGAGACGGACATGATGGTATTACAATCATTATCAGAAACACGTCATTTTATAACTGGAGAGAGTGAGAAGGAAACAGAGGTTGAACAAAGCACAAAATGAACCGGCACTCATGAAAATAAATGAACAGTGTAGTCCAAATGTATAAAGGGGCTGTTTTAAGATACCAAGATTCCAGAACAATTCCATCCTTACCTACCAATGAGATGATGTGAGATCATTTTCTGCTTTTACTAGGAGAAAATTTCTGAGAGAGAAAGATGAGATTTCAATGTGCTGGGTCATAGATATTGAACGTAGATCCAGCTGGGTGCGGCCTCACCCAACCACGCCCTTTTGTGTGGTTGTGGTTGGGCTGGTATGTTTTGCAAAAATGGCATCTAAAAGTGAGAACCACTATTCTCTTCTCTTTGTATCTCTTTCATTCATTTTTTGTCTCTTTTACTCTCTCACTTACTTTACTCCTCTGTATTCTGTCCTTATTCTAACTCATCACTATATTACTGTTACTCTGTTACTGCGGGTACATAGACTATCAACCAGTGGAGAGGACTAGACACTCCACAGTAAAGGTAGGAGACTACCTATATATGTGGGGTGGGTCCGGGTTTGGAGTAGACTATGATGTGATGGAGGTGTATCACTTACCAACTGGTGCTTGGGACCAGAAACCTACTACTGGTACCCCACCACCAGGTACCAGGGCCTATTCAACTGTTGCTATTGGGAAGGACATATATTATTTCGGTGGACATGGTGTTGGTGGTTATCAAAACAGCCTACATTGTTTCAATGTGGATTCATTGAAGTGGAGGGAACTCTCTCCTTCTAGTTCGGATTGCAATCCAATGAAGAAGGCCTACTGTGGAATAATATCAGTTCATTTTGACAGTGAACACTATCTCGTAATAATCGGAGGACAGGGATCATCTTCTACACCTAAGCAACCTAATGCTCAGTATAATAATTCTTATGGGGAATTGAGATGTAATGAGATACATTATTACAGGATTTCATCAGGTCAGTAATTCTCATCATTGATACACAATAGTTGATGAGTATTTCAAACTGAATAATTTATATTAATGTACATAAAACAGATTTTTAATAATTAAGTGTGTTTGTTAGTGTGTCTCTGTGTGTCATGTGTTTGTGTGTGATGGTGACATGTGTCTATATGTGATGTGTGTGTGTGTACTAATACATACATTATAATGTGTCTGTGTATGATAGTGCATATAATATAAGTGAGAATTTATGAATGTACATTGTATGACGTGTGTATGTGACGTGTATCTATAATGTGCCTGTTATGTGTGTGTGAGTATTATCATGTATCTGTGTGTGTGTGATGTCTGTATATGTACATGTATCTATACATAAGTTAATGTGACATGAGTGTGTGTGTGTATAGGTTCATGTCATTTATTATCATTTGGTGTGTGTATCCATACATGAGTGTATCTGTGTGTGTGTGTGTGTATCATGTGATAGTGATGTGTGTCTATGCATGATGTGTATGTATAAATAATAATGTACACACATATACACATACATATGTATGATGAATGTGTATAATGTATGTGTGTGTATGTGGTAAGTAAGTGTACATGAATGTTTGTACATTATTATTAGATCAATGGATATCTCCTGTTGTGACTGGAGACAGACCACCTCCTTTTAGTCACTTCACTCTAACACCAGTTACTAATAACACTGCAGTAATGTTTGGAGGCTATACTGATAATGGAGATAGTAATAAACTATATATGATAAGTTTCACTAAGACATCAGTGGTGAGTTAATACTGTAGGATGGGTTTTGATTGTGAAATTTTTTTGATTGTGAGATTTTTTTGATTGTGAGAATTTTTGATTGTGGGTTTCTAATTATTAAATTGAATGAATTGTAGTCCGTCAAACTTGTAGCAACGTGGACATGCAAATTGCAGTCAATTAATTATTTTGTTCAAAATAATTAAATAATTATTATATTGAGTTTATTATTTTCTCAGGATATATTAGAAGTACCTAATCCTGGAGGATCAGTACATTGGCCTGAGGGAAGAGGTGCTCATTCCAGTGTACTGATTACCACTAGTTCAGGACCACACTTACTAGTGGTGGGTGGATATTATGCCTATGATGTATGGTTACTGGACATTAGCAAAAGAAAATGGAAAGAACTGGTAAGTATTATATTATGATACTTGATAATGAAATATAAAGTGATTAATTAAATTTGTAACTGATGAGGTTTGTAATGTACATGTACATATTATGATACTCAGTGAAAATTACTGATGAATGATGCTGGTATTCAGTATGTGTGTGTGATTCTGTTTTTAGTGTGAATGTTGTTTGTGTCTTTTTGTGTTTTGTGTTTGTTTCTTTACCTAAACATGTGTGAATATACATGTGTCTGTCTGTCTGTGTGTGTAAAGATGGATTCACAATTGATAGAGTGTCAATGCTGGAATTAAAATAAATTGTATTTTATATACATTGTGTACATTGTGTATGTACATACATGTATTTGTGTGTATGTGTGCATATGTTTTAATATGTGTATGTGTGTACTAACACGTGCATCATGTGTACATGTAACATGTACATGTGTGTGTATGTGTGTGAGCAATTATGCATGCTTTACATGTACTTTATATGTGTATGCATGTATAGATGTACATGTATGTGTGTTAGTGTGTCATTAGTATGTGTATGTGTATGTGTGTACATGCAGACACTTAGTAAGTTCTTAATTGAAGAGTCACATGATATAATAACAGACTCAGTTGTGTATACTTGTCTATTAATATATTGTGTATTATTAATTTTATTATGTGATCTTTGTGTTACATAAAACACACTGTGCAGACTATAAAACTGTGAGTTAGTTATTGTGTTTATTAACCAGATATCAAATCAATTAATATGTCATATACAAATTAATTATTATCATTTTAATTTTATAGATTAATCTACCAGGCAGAGTCACTAACAGATACTATCATTCTCTCTCAGTATGGAG